TGTGGACTGAGCTAGAATAGTTTGTTTCTTTGATTTCCAAGATACAGCTCCTCCAGCTATGCTAAATATATAGCCACTAGTAGCTTTGGAATCATCTGACAAAGTATTCCAATTTGCATCACTGTACCCTTCTAGTACAACAGGAAACTTATGATAATGTAGGCCGAGATCCATGGTCCTTTTGAGGTACCTCATGACTCGTTCAATAGCTTTCCAATGCTCTTTACTCGGTCTACTCGTAAACCTGCATAACAATCCTACGACATATGCAATGTCGGGTCTAGTACAATCAGTGGCATACCTAAGACTGCCAATGATGCTCGCATACTCTGATTGTCTGACACTTTCTCTAGTGTTCTTAAATAGTTTCACACTTGGATCATATGGTATGCATGCAGGTTTACATTCAAAGTAATTATATTTCTTTAAGATCTTCTCCACATAATGTGATTGATCCAAAGAAATTCCTTGTTCGGATCTCGTGATCTTGATGCCAAGGATCACATTTGCTTCTCCGAGATCTTTCATATCAAAGTTGTTGCACAACAATGATTTCACATCATTAATGGTCTGAATGTTAGATCCAAATATGAGTAGATCGTCAACATAAAGACATATGATAGTGCAAATGCGGTTCTCAGATTTATAGTAAATGCATTTGTCACTTTCATTCACTTTGTACCCACTTGATATCATTAAGTTATCAAATTTTTCATGCCATTGCTTAGGAGCTTGTTTTAGTCCATACAACGACTTATTTAACTTACAGACCTTGTTTTCTTGTCCATAGATTACAAACCCTTCTGGTTGTTCCATATAGATTTCTTCTTCTAAGTCACCATTTAAAAAAGCTATTTTTACATCCATTTGGTGTACTATTAAGTTATAAATAGCAGCTATTGAAATAAGTACCCTAATGGATGTAATTCTAGTGACAGGAGAAAAGGTGTCGAAGAAATCTATATTTTCTCTTTGTCTAAAACCCTTGGCAACAAGGCGAGCCTTGTATTTATCAATAGTTCCATCAGGTTTTAGTTTTCTTTTCAAAACCCATTTACAACCAATTGGTTTGCAACCAGGAGGCAAGTCTACTAAGTTCCAGGTCTTATTGGATTCTAGAGATTCTATCTCATCATTGATAGCCTCTTGCCATAAATCAGCATCCAGAGAGGACAAGGCTTCTTGAAGATTCATTGGATCTTCTTCTACATTATAAGCCGCATAGTCAGGCCCAGAGTCTTTAGAGACTCTTACTCGTTTACTTCGTCGAAGTTCTGTTTCTATATTGTCGTTGCATTATGTGCTTCTTATCACAGGAGTGTGACTCGATTGTGTGCCCCCACTATTTCTCAATTTGAAGGGAAATTTGTGTTCATAGAATTCAGCATCATTTGATTCTATGATCACTTTTTCTATTAGGTCATAAAACCTATATGCTTTACTGTTTGCTGCATATCCAATGAAAACACATTCATATGCTCTACTAGCGAGTTTAACTCGCTTCGGATCCGGAATTCTGACATAAGCCAGAGAGCCCTAAGTTCTCAAATAAGACAAGTTTGGTTGTCTTTTCTTTAATATCTCGTAAGGAGAGATCTTACATTTTGACTTAGGGATTCTATTCAGGACATAGCAAACAGTCAATAAAATTTCCCTCCACCAGTGAGGTGCAGCACCAGAATTCATCATAATTGCAACGACAAGTTCAGTAAGAGTTCTATTCTTTCTTTCTGCTTTACCATTCATTTCAGGAGAATATGGAGAAGTCGTTTCATGTATAATCCCATGTTCTTTATAAAAGTCCTTAAATAGACCAGAGTCATATTCAGTTCCCCTATCACTACGAAGTCTCTTGATCTTCTTACTAAGTTGATTTTCAATTTCGGTTACATACAACTTAAACATATCAAGTGCTTCACTTTTATTCTTCATTAAGTATACATAAGTATAATCAGAACAATCATCAATAAAGGTGATAAAATAACGTTTACTGTTCCTAGTCAAAGTTCCATCTAATTCACATATATCAGAGTGTATAAGATCTAGGGGATCAGATTCTCTTAGAATTGATTTATGCGATGTCTTAATTATCTTAACTTGAGTACAATATTCACATTTATTTGAATCACTGACATTTAGTTTAGGGATCAGGCCTAAGTTGCTTGCATTATACATAATTCGCTTATTAACGTGACAAAGTCTAGTATGCCAAATATTAAAATCACGCAGAAAATAAACAGAAGGACGAATTTTATTCAAATCAACATTTAACTTAAACATGCCATCAGTGGCGTACCCTTTCCCAACAAAAATACCATTCTTAGTGATGGTGTACAAATTTGCCCCTATAGTTTGACTAAACCCAGCCTTATTTAAAAGGAAATCAGAAACAAGATTCTTCCTAATTTCAGGAACGTGCATGACGTCCTTCAAGATCAAGGTCTTTCCTGAAGTGAACTTCAGCTCAACATCTCCAATTCCAGCAACATTAGTGGTGTGGGCATCTCCCAACAACACTTTCTTATCTTCAGTATTCATGTATGTCTTAAACATAGCACGATCATTACAAACATGGCGAGAGGCGCCAGTGTCTATCCACCATCCATCGCTTCCATCAACCATGTTGACTTCAGTGATCATAGCAATGAATTGCTCCTCAGTCAGGTTTTCCTGTGCATTTGGGTCAGTAGTAGATTTAGGCATGCTCTTACATTTCTTAGCCATATGACCCGGTTTTCCACAATTGTAGAAAGTGAAAACCGGAGCATCATTTCTCTGGGATGGTGGTTGCTGCCTAGGAATTGGAGTATATGGGGCCCTAGAGGGATTCCCATTCTTAATTCGGTTCACAATATTACAGTTCTGATTATTTAAAGGTTTGCCCGTAGGCTTCAGAACCGCACCGAATTTCTTTTTGTTGTTTGAAACAACTAAGACTTCATCTTTCTGATCTTGTCTTCGAGCTTCCTCTTTAATTCGAAGGCGGGTAATCAAACTCTCGATTGAAAATTCTTTAGTTTTATGTCGGAGTAGGTTTTTAAAATCTTTCCAACCAGGAGCCAGCTTGTCAATTATAACAGCAATTTGAAATTGTTTATTGAGGGGCATACCTTCAGTTATGATTTCATGAGCAATCTTCTGTATCTCGTGGCTTTGAGCTTCCACAGACCTTTCATCCACCATTTTGTAATTCAAGTAGCGACTGACAGCATATTTTTTTGCACCAGCTTCTTCAGTATCATATTTCTTCTGCAGAGCCTCCCATAACTGTTTAGCAGTCTTGTAATTGCTGTAGTAATCATAGAGATCATCAGCAAGACTGTTCAGAATGTGATTTTTTGCAGAGGTAGTCATTTTCTGCCCATAAGGCGATTTCTTTTTGGAGCTGTAAGTTATCTGCCGCAGCTTTAGCAGCGGAGTCTAAGTCAGACGTTTTAGAAGTTCCATCTGATTCCACGGTTGACTTACCATTACTTAGTTCGTTTGATCCAGATGGAGCAACATGGATATCCTCAGTCAGAACGTAGGCAACCTTCTTTGAAGTTAAGAAAAATTTCATCTTAGCTTGCCAACGTTTGAAATTGGAACCCTCAAACTTAAATGGTTTGTCAGAGACAGAAGCGGCAGCGCTAGTACCGATAATTTCCTCAGTAGCCATGGCAGTTATGAAAACGTCTTAAAATTGTAGAAACCAGATTTTAAAAAATGGCACAAAGGAAAAGTATCGGGACGAGTCGCGTACTAGGTCGCTTTCTTTAAGACGTTTCGTCGTACTGCCAATATTAATGCAAAGCAGTCGAGTTTCGACGACGCCTCCAGGATAAAACAGCCCGTTCAATTACGACAATTACTTGCACTATAATTAGTCGTTCGTAAAATGACACCTTCATATGGTAATTAACCAGTCTTAGTATCTGGATACGAAGTGATCCAGTCGAAAATAAGAGAGAAGAAAATTATAGATGAAGTGAGTGATGAGAGAGAAGAGAGAAGAATTGTAGAAGTAAATTCTGGAACTGCCCAAATGAACCGAAACAACTTAATTTATAAGTAAAAAGGTCCAACTGAATGGAACAGGTCTAGTGGGAGAGGTGGAATTGGCCCAGTCAATAACCAGTGAATAATTAGGTTAAAACTTGGTCTTTTGGAGGGAAAGCAAAAACCAGTCAATAATTAGATTAAGACTTGGTCTTTTGTGCATGACACATCACCATCTATTAATTAATTAATAATAATATTAATATTAATTAATTTCCACTCTTTTGGGACTAAAATGAATCTTTTAAAACTCACTTTCATGCTAGTTCTTACTTGTGCTTATTTATTGCTCATTTAATGTCAATAAATTATTCCAACTCCCATTCCAAGTTTACATCATACCAAGATTTCCAATAGTTGCACAAGGCATTCTTGCATTGCAAAGAGAGTTATAGTGAAGTCGTTTGCATCGCAAAAGTGAGGTCACACTTCTAACATTTGCAGGATGACATAATATTCATGTTGTCAATATGCTTGTATTCATCTTGTCTGCCGCAAAAATATTAAAACTAAGAATCTTAATTTAGCAAACTTTTCATTAAAACCACATTTACACATCTCAATGTTTTCCCTATACTAGGCTCTGAGAAACTTAGTCATATTAGAAGTCTCCCTACACCAATGAAGCATTTACTCTCATTATGCTCTCTTAAGATTTCAACAACTATTCTCATTTCTGTCTTCAGTTTGATTCTTTACAATATATCTGCTCCTTAGTAGAAAAGCTGCAACATAATCAAGTGTTTACATTCCCTACCAAGCTAAAAGGTTATTCTTCCTTATGCAGTTCTATGCAATTCTCAGGTCCTTTCCAAGGCGAGTCTAAGAGATCAGACTACTAAATCTCAAGTTTGAAGAACATCTATGATTTGAATAACTTTGCTTCCATCAACCCCGCAGTAGTATAATTACCCTGAAGGGTTCAATCACAATCACATAGAACTAAACTTTTAAGAAATGTGTCATCTTTTCCGACAGATTGTCATCCCATCTCCAATAGGCACCTAAGACTCCAAAGAGAAGATATATATATATCAACTTAAAATAATCTCTCTGCAACTGGAAGTGTATTAGTAATTAGAAAAATCGGTATAAACCTACCATACTGATGCTTACACGCTTGTCTCCCATTAACCGTTGATTAAAATATCGAATGCTGTTAGTTTTAGAGTCACTTACCTGCATATAGTACATTAAATGTCAAGTTCTTTTAACATGCAATAAAGGAAAACTTGAATTAATTTGTTTACCAATGGATCAACAACTTTTCCATGCCAAAGGACATTATCAATTACAATAAGACCTCCAACCCTCACCTGCAAAAACAATAATATTAACAATTTCTACGAGACACGGTTGGAAGGTTAAAGAAAAATATTATAATTAAGTAGGCAAAGGATGCAGTTAACAATGTTGACTATCTTATAATGCTCTTACCAGTTGTAGTAGCATCTCAAAATATTTCTCAGTCATCCTTTTCTCAGCATCAATAAATGCAAAGTCATAGCTGCATAAGAAGGAAAGGTTTAAATTCTATTTTACTTGTGCTTTCTCTGACAATTGACATCATCTAGATCGGATTAATAGCAAACAATAACCCTTGGAAAGAGAACATATCAAATGTAGAAGGCCTCAAAGTAGTCAATCCAGGATAGCGGCACTGAGCGGCCGACGCCAAAAATGGGATAGCCGGATAGTGTATAGCAGGATGGCCGCAATTTGATCAATTTTTGAACAAATTACATGGATAATAATTATAAACATATGAAGTGCGAAGAAAGAAGTGCAGAAAGAGGTGTGGGAGGAACTTTGTGATTTTTCTTTGGAACATCTGAAGTGCAAATCATCGTGAAGGAAGGTTGGATCAAGTCTAAATTCGAATATGATTGAAAAACCAAAAATTACCAAAGTGTTTTAAATTAAAGGGGTAATTTTAGTTTTTCAGAGGGGAAAAGGATATCGGGACAAAAACTGCTCCGCCGGCGCCAACGCTACCCGCTATTTACCCTACGGCGACCGCTATAGTGTTCAGCACCACTGAGGCTTTTCCCATAGCGGCCGGCCTCTATTGACTACTCTGGAAGACCTCCCAACCACAACCCCAAATGAGGAATATCAAGGCCCTATTTGGATAAACAACTTAATTAAGTGCTTATTGTATTAATGTATAAACTATTTCTATAACAAAAGATAAAATAAAGTCAATCTGCTCTCATATAAGCGATATAAATTTTCATAAGCTATCTTAAAGAGCTTATGGAAATCAGCTGAAAAGAACTTATGGATATGTATAAGCTAGTTTCATAAGCTCTTCTAGCAGATATGTTCAAATAAACCAATCCAAACATACCTCAAATTACTTAGTCTTGATGTTTAGAATCCACGTACCTTCCTACCTCACCATTCATAATTAGAGATTCTAGGGAATCCGCTGCAAGTCCGAGTCTTACATCAACCTAGAGTCATTATATAAAACTTTAGAGAAATCGGGAAGTAAAAATCCAATATATAGTCCACATATTTCCAAGTGAAAATAACAGATATTTGTCACCAATTCAGATCAAAAGCATAAGTTTACCTTATGTGAAACACCAGCAAGTTGATAATACTTGTTAGCAACCTCAAGAGATTTGGCATCTCTTTCACAGGCAACTAACCGACCTGATTCTGGCAGGACTAATGCTATGGCTAGTGATGAGTAACCCTGATCAAATTGACAATTGGTAAAGGAAGACATCCTCAAAAAATCTAGGCATGACAAAGGAATTAACTTATAAATTTCATAGAGTGCTATTTGAAAACTCAATAAATTCTGTAATTTAATTCTTTCCAACTCAAAAATTCTCAAAACCTTTCACTTACTATGTAACATGAAGAAACTAAGGTGTTAAAAAACTAAAAAGGACATACAGTATAAACACCGACTTCAATACACCTTTCAGCTCCAAGAATCTGCACAAGCATTGCAAGTAGCTGTGCCTGATCAGGAGACACCTATTACAAATGCAATGCATTGTCAACAAAGTTTACTTCATGCCGGGCAAGTAGGATTAAAAATTTAAAATATGAGACTGCGAGACTGTCAAAGTAAAAAATTTCTATTAAGAATCAATCAGAATCAATGTATCAATTGAATAATTGTATTACCTTATTGTATACAACTCGTATGAATATAAATATACAAACAACATTATACAGAAAATACTTTTTCAAATAATTTCAAATTTAATCAAATATCAGTTGTACACAAAACTCATGAAGCTCCATACCTGCATCTGACTTCCGCGCATAGAGGCGGTCTCCACTCGCAGTTGCCTTAGAATCTGAAATACAAGTACTTGACAATAAGCTCAAAAGCAAGTTAAGAAAAAATAAAACTTTTGATTATGGTGAACAAAAGGGTATGTTGATGAATCCTCCTCACCTCTGGTTCTCGAACATTTTGGAGCAAATAATCATAGAGACGAGGCGTGAGACTAATAACCTGCTTATTTCCATATTTCTCATCACTGGAAACAACAAACTCAGTGATAGAACAACTCCTTACAGCAAGCCGTTTCAATTTGCAGCTGCATCGCCGACAGAGGGCTTTACTGGTAGTTGTGACAGGCTGGGTTGGAGAAAGTAAATGAGAGCTTGCGCATAGTCTTATGGGTTTGGCTAAAGAAGTTGTAGATACGTGATGAAACACCAAATTCATGCCACTACTTGCCATAACCACGGTGAGATTCAACACCACATTACTACCTCCAAATATAAGATGTGGTTTGGACTCTAATATCTTTATTTTTTCGTTACAATAGCGAAATTTATTTTTATTTTCATATTTTGGAGATGTGTCTCTAAACTTACTAGATTTTATTTTTCTAAGGTGATTTCGGAGATACATTATCAAAGTTACGAAATATCATTTTTTGGATGAATTCAGAGATATATTTCGGAAGATACACAATGTTTTATTTTGGATGTACATTTCCGAAATAAACATTGAATGTGTTTTCTAGAAGAGAAACCTTGAAACATTGACCTTGAAACATAGATATAACATAAATATTGAAACATTGATATTACATAGATATTACATAAACAATAATATAAATTTAACATGAAAAGTCGAAATTACATAGATATTGAAACATAAATTTAACATTACATATCGTTATAAACGGATAACTGAGGACGTCACAACATTTTGATAACATATTTTCCGGATTTCTGAATCTTTACATCCAATTCAATCGGATCCTTAGTAGAGTATCGGTGAAAAGTACTATACATAACCTTTAAATCATCATCCGTCTTCAGCTCAAACTTGGTGAACTTGACCTTTCCTTCAGTGTCAAGTGATGGTGAACGATACTCGAGCTTGACTATCCTTCAATTTTCTGGATATTGCAAGAGAGAGTTGAGTATGGTAATGAGCTCGGCGAGAAGCGTGTCCTCGCAGAACCTAAATTGAAGTGGCGGCTTCACACCATTGAAATAAACAAAAGCAAGGCGATGATATGTTTGTGTCATATCTGATTTGTGGTGTGTGGTGTCTGATTTATGGTGTATGATGTTGAAGAAATGGTTCAGACACCCTATTATAGAAGATTTTGAGCAATATGGTCCCAAGAATTCTTATCATGTGTCAGGACATGTTTCAGAAATACACTTCCGAAACAACCCCTTATTTTTTAACAAATTTGGAGGTACACTTCCGAAACATTCCTTGATTGTTTTTTTTAACTTCGGAAATGTATTTCCGAGTTATGCAGAGACAGAACTCTATCTTGGCAGAATTAATATCAATCAAAGATGAATTCACAATTTAATTGGTAAAAGTAAAAATCGGTAAAATGTATAAATCGGTCAAATATTGAATAAATATATTATATATGTATTGAATCGTATAGATACATTCCAAAATGATTCGATTACATTGTGCACGACAATACATACAAAAAATGATTTGATTACATTCTAAAATGTATCAAACGAATGGTTATCGCTTAATTCTAAAACTGGTTCTTTCTTCGACTTCTCCCTATTTGATTTTCTCTCAAGTTCTGACAACTTGGTGAATTCGTTCATCCTTTCCAAAATATGATCCGGTCAAGTTTTTTCCTCTTTTGTGGAATGTGTCGTCCATTGCACTGACGTAGCAGGAATAGGACACCCTAGCTTCAAAAATACTTGAACAAAATGGAGTGATCTAAGATACCCAATACAGAAGATGCGACCGAATAGGTCTTGAGGTGGGCCACTTTGTAATGGAAAAAATATTTCCGAAAAACTATATCTCGTGAGATCGATACACACCCTGTCATATGCACTTGTTATAAGATGGTCCATTTTAGGGAAGCACATCCACTTGCCAGGTGGTGTGGAACCGGTAAGACATGGAACAAGAGCATTATGAATTTTATTGAAACCTTTTTTAGCCTCATATAGTCGTACGTAATCTTCCTTATGCACCGTCAATTCCGAAATAATTGTTTGTCACACAATAGTGTGGTTCTCCTCACCTTTACCAAGTAAACTCGACCGCAATTACCATCCCCCCAACTAGCTTTGACAATTTCCGTCTTCACTCTTGAAGTCTTTGGTGCCAATAGCCGGTTTGAGCTTAGCTCTCACATTTTTTGTTATATGATGCCGATAAAATAATGTATATGATGTAGGAAATACACTTTGAACCGCATTCATAAGGGCGTTATCTGGGTCGGTTACGATGACACTAGGAAAATTTTGTGGATCCTTCAAAAAAGTCTTGCATATATCCAACGCTCATGTAACCTTGTCTTCTTTCTCACATTCGAGAAACGCAAATCCAACCTGTAACACCTGATAATTTAATTAAATTATTTTTGGATTATTTGTTGGAGTTGTGAGATATTGAGAATTGTTGGTATAAGTTGCTAGATTATTAATTAATTAATTAATTAATTAGTTGATTAATAATAATAATAATAATGTTGGAATTAATTGTATTAGTTGTTGGGCTTGTTTTGGTGATAGAAGAAGTATTAAAGGGGTGTGAGAAATTAGGTCCAATAGACATAATACTATTATTATTATTATTGAGTTTAGTTATAATAATAGAAAAATAGGTTTTTGTCAAAAAGAAGAGGAATAAGGGTTAGAAGAGAGAAAGAGAACGTAGAAGTTGCATAGAAGAAGGAAAAGAGGCAAAGCGGGATTCGATCAGAAATTTGTAGAGCAACCTTCAATCCAAGATAAGGGTGGGGTTCTGACTCTATAATTAGGTATTTGATGCATGTCACGTGGGAATTGGATTGTGTGAAATTGTTACTGTATGTGATGGTTGTATGAATAAATTGTTGTTTGGCATCTGTGATAATTGTGCTAACATTTCAGCAATTTGATCGATGAATTGAGTGTTGGAATTTGTAATGTATTGATGTGGGTATAGTTATTATATTATCGTGAATAGTTGTTGTGTTGGTCTGAGATCGTGGGAATGGAAAGAATCACTGGTCGCAAGAAATTTGGAACGAAGTTACAGAATTGCAACTGAAATTATGGACATGTGCCGAGCAGAACATGTGTTGATAAAGGGTGCCGACTGGAACCATGCTTTTGTGCCAAGGGGCACGGTTTGCATGCCGAGGGGCATGGATCCCAATTACAATATCTCCTTTAGGTGTTTTGCTGTGTTTATTATGGGTGTCTGTTACCTTAGTATGTTATTGCAAGAATGTATGTAGCAGGCTTAGGAAAAGGATGAATAACATTAGAGGTTATTTATTAACAACATAAGTGATAAATTGATGAATTAGCATAAGTATAGCAGGTAATATTAATGAGTAAGAGAGTTAGTAAATGTTAACAGAAAATTAGTAATTATCAGACAATGTAATGGAAATTGCTGGTAGCAGTGATCTATGAAAGTAATAACTGGTATATGTATATAGCGGAATTGAATAGCAGTGTAGTATTAATTTGTCAGAAAACTAATAGGGAATATTAGTATAAAATAGAAATAATAGAACTTTTAGCCGATAAGTAATTAGCAGGATTTAGTCGATTTGTCTGAATAACTATGCGGAATAATTTTTGTATATTTTAGTCGATACAATGTGTTGAATACTTTGCTGAAAAATATAAATTACAAGTGGTATTAAATTGTTAGGCTTATGGCCCAATGTTGTTTTCTTATTGATGTTGTTGTCTGATTACTATTGTTGATATGTTATTGTTGTTGTGACGTACTAAATTGTAGACTTATGTCAACATTGCGTTAATTGTTGTTGTTGAAAGATCAAGTTGTAGGCCTATGGCCAGTGTTGAGTTATTATTAAGTTGTAGTCTTATGCCAACGTTGTTATGTTGCTGTTGTTGCATTTAATCATGTTGTCGCATACATCGCATATCAAGTTGGAGCTGATGCTCGTTAAGTTGGCCTGGATTGACAAAATATTAAGTTGAAGGCTTATGTCTTGTTGCTGCCTCTATTAATTAGCAATGTTTCTAAGTTGGGAGTTCTGCTCCGTTTTTAAGTTGAGAGTTCTGCTCCGCTGGTACCACATGCATGTGCATAGTAATGAGTTGCATTTCACGTTGCATATACGAGTTATTGTGTTGATGAGTTATTTGTTATATTTTGTTGATGTTTTGTTCTGGTTGATGTTGTTTAAAGTTGTGAAGTGGTGATTTTGCATAGACTAATTCTAATATAATATTTATCATATATTATATCATATTGTTCGATATCTCACCCCTTTTGTTTGAATGTTACCCCGATGTTGGTAACATGCATGTAATCCAGAGTGAAGGCAGTTTACCTTCAGTAGTTCGAGTCGGCGACATTGCTCTGATACGTAACACTCGGAGGAATGGACGCTTGTTGTTTTATTGTTATTAATTCAGTTGACTGAACTTTAAGTTGTTGTTCATTAAATACTTGTTATTTGAAGTTGTTTCAGTTGGACGAAGATGATATATTCTTTTAAGTTAAATATTTGATTCCGCTGCGTAGTTATGAAAGTTGTTGTTTTTAAAAGATTAAACTATATTGCCATTGGTTCATCCAAGCTTAATGTGTTATGTATCTGTAATGAATGTCGTTGTTTTAAGTTGAAATTGTAGCATCCTGATTTAGTTGTTGAATTTTTATAACTGATTTTCATAATAATTGTCGGGTAGAATTGAGGTGTTACAAAGTTGGTATCAGAGCAAGTCGGTTCGTCCGACCAAGTTGTCTAATGTTGTTTGTTCCTTAGTACACGACAAGTGTGTGAAATATTGTCGGTGCTTGCTTGATTTTTTGATCGCTTGTATGCAGGAGTTGGTTTGAAGATAAATGGGGGATAAGCTTTTCTTCTCGGATGTGTTTCGGTTGTAAGATGTTGGTTCGGTATGGCGACAGTGCAAGTATTGTCGAAGTTTTTTTTTTGTTTCCCCAAATCCAAATGTGACATGGATTAAAGATTTTGTTTGTTAATCAAGTTTGAACATCTTGAGGGAGGATGATCAGACATTATTGATGTTTACTTCTCGAAGAATGAGGAGCAATGTAACATACGGGTAGAGTGTAAATTCCTGATGTTTTTGAAGGTGATTGTTAAGTAACAAGGATAATTTTTAGAAGATGGAATTTAGAAAGTTGTGATGTTTCAGAACTGCTGGTGGACTGTGAAGTTGTCAGTTTGAGTATCCCTTGCGTAAAATGTCGATGTTTGAACGATGATAGAGTGACAGATTGCTGTA